GTGTGGGGGGGGGGGGAAATAATAGTAGTAGAAAACAGTTGATTGACAGTTGAGAGGCGGGCCGAAAGAGCAGAGCTCAACCCCCGCAAGCACAACTAAGTGAATATAATATATATATATATATATATATATATATATATATATATATATATATATATATATATATATATATATATATATATATATATATATATATATATATATATATATATATCGTACCTAGTAGCTAGAACGCACTTTTCTGCCTACTATGCAAGGCCCGATTTACCTAATAAGCCAAGTTTTCATGAATTAATTATCTTTTGACTACCTAACCTAACCTAACTTTTTCGGCTACCAAACTTAACCTAACCTATAAAGATAGGTTAGGTTAGGTTAGGTTAGGTAGGGTTGGTTAGGTTCGGTCATATATCTACGTTAATTTTAACTCCAATAAAAAAAATTGACCTCATACATAATGAAATGGGTAGCTTTATCATTTCATAAGAAAAAAATTAGGGAAAATATGTTCAGGAAAACTTGGCTTATTAGGCAAATCGGGCCTTGCATAGTAGGCCGAGAAGTGCGTTCTGGCTACTAGGTACGACATATATATATATATATGTGTGTGTGTATATATATATATATATAAATATATATATGTCGTACCTAGTAGCCAGAACTCACTTCTCAGCCTACTATGCAAGGCCCGATTTGCCTAATAAGCCAAGTTTTCATGAATTAATGTTTTTTCGTCTACCTAACCTACCTAACCTAACCTAACCTAGCTTTTTTTGGCTACCTAACCTAACCTTACCTATATATATAGGTTAGGTTAGGTTAGGTAGGGTTGGTTAGGTTCGGTCATATATCTACGTTAATTTTAACTCCAATAAAAAAAATTGACCTCATACATAGTGAAAAGGGTAGCTTTATCATTTCATAAGAAAAAAATTATAGTAAATATATTAATTCAAGAAAACTTGGCTTATTAGGCAAATCCGGCCTTGAATAGTAGGCTGAGAAGTGAGTTCTGGCTATTAGGTACGACATATATATATATATATATATATATATATATATATATATATATATATATATATATATATATATATATATATATATATACACATATATATATATGTATGTATATATTATATATATATGTATATATTATATATATAAATGTCGTACCTAGTAGCCAGAACTCACTTCTCAGCCTACTATTCAAGGCCCGATTTGCCTAATAAGCCAAGTTTTCCTGAATTAATATATTTACTATAATTTTTTTCTTATGAAATGATAAAGCAACCCTTTTCTCTATGCATGAGGTCAATTTTTTTTTATTGGAGTTAAAATTAACGTAGATATATGACCGAACCTAACCAACCCTACCTAACCTAACCTAACCTATATTTATAGGTAAGGTTAGGTTAGGTAGCCAAAAAAAGCTAGGTTAGGTTAGGTTAGGTAGGTTAGGTAGACGAAAAAACATTAATTCATGAAAACTTGGCTTATTAGGCAAATCGGGCCTTGAATAGTAGGCTGAGAAGTGCGTTCTGGCAATTAGGTACGACATAATATATATATATATATATAAATATATATATATATATATATATATATATATATATATATATATATATATATATATATATATATATATATATATATATATATGTATATATTATATATATATATATGTATATATATTATATATATAAAATATATATATATATATATATGTTTGTGCTGCAACATATATATATATATATATATATATATATATATATATATATATATATATATATATATATATATATATATATATATATATATTTTATTCATATTCAATCACCTACACAAATACACACATCAATAATCTTTTGTATCAAGTGATTCAACAAGAGGCTCACAGCAGTCACTATACAAGGCACTTTACATCTATGGTGGGTCACACAGTTACTAGTCTTGCTCCACACCCACCCAACTGGGCGGCAGCTTTACAGTCATGTGCATGCATCTTCAAGAGAAAACTAGTGTTTTCTTCAAAAGAGTCCCGGATCATTCGGGCTGTGGTGGGTATGTGGGCCTGCGGGCCGCTCCAAGTTGTCCTAGTGGACCAAAGTCTCACAAGTCAAGCCTGGCCTCGGGCCGGGCTTGGGGAGTAGAACTCCCAGAACCCCATCAACCAGGTATCAACAGCCGTAGGTGTTGCAACCAACAACAACCAACTGATCAACAACAACAGTTGATCAGGTGATTGATCAACCTGTCACCAGGGAAGTCTTGCCTCAGGTTGGGCAATGGGTGCGGACATCCGGATACCGAGCAAGGGTGTGGCTTCGGTGTTTCCCTTGGATAATTATCCCACAGTGGCTGCCCTGACAACAGTCAACTCATTCACGGCAGTAGCCCAGTTTAACCAGATATCCATGTGTAAATGTGGATGTGTTGACGGTAGATGCCTTGATGGGCAGTTGGTTGGGGCATCTACCCGAGACAATTACTTTGTCTAGGTTTTTGATGTTCCGCACTCATAAATTATTTAGTTGCAAATGCTATTTAAAATGGACCCTTGATTCTCCTCTCCATTAAACTAACAACACTGTGATGATTTGGCAGTTTGATTTTTCCCAGTTTGTGCTGCAACACGGCTCCCAGTAACGGTGAAGATTGCAAGGCTGCACCGTAAGAAACTGACTAGTTTTCCTAAACAATGTGTTTGCATGACCTTCAGTATTCGGTACAATTAACATACAACATCAGGGAGGAAATACGCTGATGGAAATGGATTGAGAATGACCACATAATTATAGTCATCATAACAATATTACCTGATTGATACCTGCCTGATGGGGTTCTGGGAGTTCTTTTACTCCCCAAGCCCGGCCCGAGGCCAGGCTTGACTTGTGAGAGTTTGGTCCACCAGGCTGTTGCTTGGAGCGGCCCGCAGGCCCACATACCCACCACAGCCCGGTTGGTCCGGCACTCCTTGGAGAAAACGATCAAGTTTTCTCTTGAAGATGTCCACGGTTGTTCCAGCAATATTTCTTATGCTCGCTGGGAGGATGTTGAACAACCGCGGACCTCTGATGTTTATACAGTGTTCTCTGATTGTGCCTATGGCACCTCTGCTCTTCACTGGTTCTATTCTCCATTTTCTTCCATATCGTTCACTGCAGTATGGTGTTATTTTACTGTGTAGCTTTGGGACCTGACCCTCCAGTATCTTCCATGTATGTATACTATTTTATAGCTCTCTCGTCTTCTTTCTAGAGAGTACATTTGGAGGGCTTTGAGACGATCCCAATAATTTAGGTGCTTTATTGCGTCTATGCGTGCCGTATATGTTCTCTGTATTCCCTTTATTTCAGCCATTTCACCTGCTCTGAAGGGGGAAGTGAGTACTGAGCAGTACTCGAGACGGGACAACACAAGTGACTTGAAGAGTACAACCATTGTGATGGGATCCCTGGATTTGAAAGTTCTCGTAATCCATCCGATCATTTTTCTGGCTGACGTAATATTTGCTTGGTTATGCTCCCTAAACGTTAGGTCGTCGGACATCATTATTTCCAAATCCTTGACATGCTGTTTTCCTACTGTGGGCAGATTCGATTTTGTTTTGTACCTTGTATTATGTTTAAGGTCCTCATTTTTACCGTACTTGAGAACCTGGAATTTATCACTGTTAAACTTCATGTTATTTTCTGTTACCCAGTCGAAAGCTTTATTAATATCTGCTTGAAGTTTATCAATGTTTTGAAAACAGGTAATTTTCATAAATTTCTCATATTTACATGGACGTTGGTATGTTATTATAACAATGTAATTATAACATAATTAGTGCTATTATCTACTCTCTATTCATGGTTAGGTTAAGTTAAGGTTACTTTAGGTTAAGGTTTGATTAAGTTAGGTTTCATTACATTTGGTTATGTTTATATGGTGCATTATTGAAAATAATGCGAAATATGGAATTCGAAAACTATTCCAGTGTACCTTGAGTTCTAATTACAGAAAATCAATTTCTTCAAAGAAAACTTTCAAAGCATACACTTTTACATTTTAAACCAACAATTTATAACACAATAAAGTTATAACTTGAAAATAATCTCTGTTTAGGACAAAGGTTCACGTTCCAGTTTACATGTAGACTCTTACTGAAACCGAAATATGCTTTCAGACCATCACAAAAATCTAGATATACTATCCAGGTGGTATGAAGAGGGGCAGGGGTATGGTTTCCTCATTGTTGTTGTTATAGATTCAGCTACTTGGAATAAGTTCCAAGTAGCACGGGCTATGGTGATCCCGTAACTTACATGGCACAGGAGCGGGGCAAGTAGCACGGGCTATGGTGAGCCCGTAACTTACCTGGCACAGGAGCGGGGCAAGTAGCACGGGCTATGTTGAGCCCGTAACTTACATGGCACAGGAGCGGGGCAAGTAGCATGGGCTATGGTGAGCCCGTAACTTACATGGCACAGGAGCGGGGCAAGTAGCATGGGCTATGGTGAGCCCGTAACTTACATGGCACAGGAGCGGGGCAAGTAGCACGGGCTATGTTGAGCCCGTAACTTACCTGGCACAGGAGCAAGGCAAGTAGCACGGGCTATGGTGAGCCCGTAGTGGACTTACCTGGCACAGGAGCGGGCAAGTAGCACGGGCTATGGTGAGCCCATAGTGGACTTACCTGGCACAGGAGCGGGGCAAGTAGCACGGGCTATGGTGAGCCCGTAACTTACATGGCACAGGAGCGGGGCAAGTAGCACGGGCTATGGTGAGCCCGTAGTGGACTTACCTGGCACAGGAGCGGTGTTGTGTGGTTTCTCGTGATAATGGACTTGCTCTGAGGATGGGCTCTAACATACTCTACTGTAGACTTTCTATCGCTGAATACCGCATTTATTGTTAAATATATATACTGTAGTATAATTACGATTTGTTAGAACAGTGCAATTTTTTTTTTTGACACATACATTTGACAGGAAAGTGTATTGTACATTGTTCCGCAGGGTATCTGTCCTGGCAACCGCTTGAGGATTGTGCCAGGGATATTTGACACAGGTGCTGGTGTGACGTCACTGGCCTCCCTCACCACTGCCCACAGTCCTGCCACCATCACCATCACCACCAGCCCACCCACTCGCCTCGGAGCCACCAGCCCGGCACCCAGGCCTCAGCGACCACTCTCAAACAAGGTATGGATATATTTTTTTAATTTTATATATGCATTAATGTTGTATATGTATCCAGTATCCAATAATATATATTAGGTTATATAAAATAATGGTTGTGTTTAGTAATCCTTCACTCATAATTCATCCCATTCTCGATTTGCAGCCACTCCATACAAAATGCAGCTATTTGGCCTAATTAGAAATGTACAAACCCATGTAACCTCTGAGTATGGGCTCCTGGTTCAACCTTGACGACAAGCGACCATCAAATCACGTGACGCACTTTTACCGTTGGGTCACAGTAATGCAGTCAGCCCTTCATATTCAGTGGTCCATATTGTTGCGACACCTGGCGCATTTATAGTCTGTGGTTACATAGAAGTTGGTAGATTTCAAACTTTTTTAGCTGGTTCTTCAAATGGGGAGATGGTACCTCTGGCTTGGCCAAGAGGTAGGACTCCTGTTGTACCCCCAGGATGTGGTGGGTGACTGGCTTCTGCTTTGTTGGAGGGCACTGAAAGATGTTTTTGCTCATTTGGGTACTAATTTCAGAAGGGCTGTGATTTTGCCCCACCCCACACAAGGTTTGTGTGAGGTGGGGCGCAATGCTTGCCCTCCCTAAGGGACTCCTGGGGTTCCCCAATCATCTTCCTATCAGTGTGTATATCACAAGGCACATTCATGCCTGCCGACAGGCGATGTGCATTTTAGTCATATGGGTTTGTGCTTCAAGGGTATGCCAGGGCATTTCTTTTCCCTTTCCCTTGTGGCATTTCTGCCACTGCGGCCTCCTAAATCAACATCTACCCTACTAAGGGCGATTTATATAAAAAGTCAATATTACTGTGCTTCATTACTAACATGTCCTATTTCTGACATGTTGGCCAATTCCATTAAGAATCCGATGTATTAGGCGAGAAGACTGGTTGCAAAATTCTAGGTTTAATAGATGATTTGCATCATTCGGTCATTCTATATCAAAAGAAGGCACCAAGCCATGATGATTATGTAGTGAAGGTTAAACACTTAAAGGTTGGTCACAGCTGCCTAAATGACCTCTTGAGTACATTTTTAATAGTATTAACAAGGTTAGGTGCACACAGCAATGTGCTGCTTTCCTATTTATGAAAAATTACAGAATATAGATCAGAACTAGCTATGAGTTCATCTAATACCTTTGTATGGTTAGTCATGCAAGGAATCAGGAGAGAACATAAGATGAGAGTCTTGTCTACTTGCCTGCACCAGCAAACCTTGGACAAAACACAAGAATATCTTCAAATATTTTTGAGTATTTAAATTAGCTGAACCCAACGGTTGCGAGAGAGGAAGAAGGGACATCCCCGAAGGAACCAGAACAGGTGACGAAGCCACACCCAACCTGGCAGGTAGACCATCATGACAAAGTTCAGGCTCCAGCACAAACTCTCGAGCAACCACCTCGTGAAACCCTGAGGAGCCCCTCAGAAACAGACGAAGGTGGGAGTGCAGACGGAGCAGAGCCGCCGGAGGAAGAGACAAGGAAGCGAAACGAGCGTCCCAAACCAGACCCAGCCAAGACCGAATCTGCAGAGGGGAACCGGATGGGACTTCCTCCAGTTCACCAAGAACCCAAACCCGGCAAGCTGGGAAAGTACCAAATCCCTGACAAGCAGACACACAAACCGGCTGGGAGCCCAAACCAGCTAGTCGTCGAGGTAGGCCAGAACTCGAACCCCCTAACAGACACAGGCGAGCCACCATGACCCGAGTAAGGTGTGTGAAAATGCGAGACACCAGATTCAATCCCAAGGGAAGACAACAAAAGCGGTAACACTGACACCCCACAACAAAACCGAGCCAGTCCCTGAACCTTAAATGAACCAGAACCTGCCAATATGCGTCCTTGAGGTCGAGTGACACCATCCAAGTGCCCGGCTCCAACAGAAGATGGACCTGGGACAGAGTAGTCATTCTGAAGGAGGGGCAATAAACCCACAGATTCCGACAGGACAAGTCCAGAATGAACCGGAGGTCCGTACAGTCCCGTTTTGGGACCAGAAACAGGCAGGAAACCCACCTGAGGGACGACGTCGTTTCGACTTCTCCGAAGCAAACCCACTCCGAGAGGACCTGACAGAGCTCAGGAGAAGAGGCCTGCCCCGTCAGCCCCGACCTCCCCGAGGGAGGAGGGGTGACCCAACGTCTCCACAGGCCGCACAAAATGACCCGAAAAGCCCATGAATCGTGGGGACAGGCTTGAGCAAACAGAGCGAGCCTTCCTCCCATCACCCCATCAATGGGACAAACCGCAAAAGGACTGACGCACCTTACGAGAACCTGAGCGGAGGACAGGGCGATCCCTGCGCCAACCAGAAAAAGACGGAACCAAAGGCGGCACCTGTCCTGAATCTGGCACCACTGGCCTACCACGGTGAACGGAAATCCAAGCCCCTTCCGGGAAGGCCCCCACAAGCCGCCAGGAGCACTAACAAGTCAGACATAGGTCTACAATCGAAGCCACCTGCAGGTACTGCACCAGCACAGATTCTGCAAACAGCATAAGACAAAAAGGCGAAGACAAGAGAAGAGCCAGGGCCCAAGCGGATTCCAAGGAAGAAGCCAGCACCGCCTGCCAACAAGCGAGGCGAGAAGAATGAACTGAGAAACCGCAGGAGTGGTGCGAAGAGCCTCAACAAAGCAGATGACACCAGCATCGTAGAGGGCAGCGCCCCAGATCCGGCAGGGGCCCCATGTCCAACTCAAGCTAATCCGAGGACAACTCAAGGAGGGAAAAGAAATCCAGGGCCGAAGCAAGCTGGCGACAAGTACGCAAATCCTCCGCAACCAAGGCAGCCAAAAGGAAGGGAAGCTGGATGTGAAGCTGCACAACACCAACATCCCGCAGAAGGACAGAGGCGAACAAACAAGCATTGAAGTGCTCGAAGTCGCCCTCCCCATGAAAACCTGAAATGCTGTCAGTCTCTCGCCAGTCCGGTGCGCGGGACCTACAGAATGTGTGCCAAGCCTCCAATGAAAAGAAAGGACAGTCTGCCAACTAGGACGACTCCGGAACTTCATAAGGAACCCAGTACGGACAGGATAAACTGTACACAAAATAACGCGGATCCATCACGAAAGCATAATCCGGGTCACACAGGCGGTAAGCCACAAGGGCCGAGAAGCTGAAAACCTCCGGAAAGATGGAACCGAGGAACCCACTGGATCATGGAACCGAACCCAGGGAGGGTTATACACCAAATCCAATTTGTATGTGGAAGGAGCGAAAGAGAACCCCTCTCCTTGCAACACTAAGCCCCGCTCTGAGGGCAGAAAACCCAGGCGGGGTCCAACGGGGCCCAAGGCCAGCAAGTCAACCCCTCCCCAGCCCCGGAAACCTCTCCCCGAGAACCCGGGGCCGAGCCAGCATCCAAACCCCCCACTTCTAAAGAAAAAGCGGGAGCTGCCGAAAAAGCAGGAACAAAGGGGGGGACCCACTGGCCAGACTCAGAAGCTCTGGCTGAAGGCCCAGGCTCAAATGCCTCCACTGCAACCCCAGGAGATATCCCCAAGACCGTCTGAGTCTCAATACCAACTAGACCTTGACCGGATGAACAACAGAGGAGGAAGGACTAGGAGGGGTGGACAGAACCAAAGCCAAAACGACTCCCACCCCCAAAGTCCAGGTCCCTATAAGCAAAACGGGAATTCTCGGGGCATGCAGGGCCGCAACCAACCTAGCGTGTTGCAGCAGCCTAAATCTAGCATGCAGCACCATAGCTACCTACACCCGCATACCATTATCAGTGGTCTGGGTGAACTGGAATATGTACAGACAACACATGTTGCACGACTCCGGGTCAAAAGAATCACCGACCCAACAGGCAGCATGGCAGAGGCACAACCGGTGTCACCCTGAGTCAAGGCAACAGAGCAACCTTCAAACTCGCAAGATGCGGGGGAAGGGGAGGGGGGACTCGGGGGTCACATCCATCGGACCACGTAGTCCCCATGGGGTTTCCCAGAGCCCTTAGCCTTGGTAACACGCTAAGGAAAGCCCAGGCAGGGTACTGCAAACCGGCGCCCAAGTCTACCAAACAAACTTCTAAAGCTGGACCCCCGGGATATGTCCACTTACTGTGGCCAAGCGGGGAGTACCACCAAAAACAGAAAAAATATTTATATATACACCCCAAAGGATGTATATAATGAAAGCACCTCCAAAGGATACCTGATCAACCAGGCTGTGACTCATACGTCAGGCTGCGAGCAGCCGCGTCCAACAGCCTGGTTGACCAGTCCGGCAACCAGGAGGCCTGGTCGATGACCGGGCTGCGGGGACACTAAGCCCCAGAAGCACCTCAAGGTAACCTCAAGGTAACCCCTAGTACAGCAAAGGGGATCAAGGCAGACCCCTCAACCAGGCAGAAAACACAAACAAAAGAAAACCCCCACAAGAGGACAATGTACCCAGGTGGAACAGAGCTGGCCGCTGTTATGGGTGAAAACTAGCTGTGCAGTACCCCGCGCCCCTGCAAGTGACGAAAACTACCCCTACCCCAGAGACGAACAAGGGCAAGAAAAACCCCCAGCTGACTCCAAGGGCGGCCAAGTACAGAGCAGTAAACGGCACAGTGGAGGTAGATCCCGAGGTGACTTGTGGCCCCAAGCCCCAAGGGCAGTACTTACTGGGCACCTAGGGAAGAGAACCCTAGGCGCATGCAGCCCAAATGCCATGGAATACTTCTCCTGGCTCATGCACCACCTGAAAGTGACAGCCCACAGTCCACAAGGCACAGAACTGAAACAAAAGCTGGAATCAGAGGCACGACCACACAAGACTCCCATCAGCCAAGAACTGAAGGTTGCGTTGCCGGTGCGAGGGTTTGGGGCTCCCCCTTCCACCTCCCGGGAGGGGGGGTTGCGCAGACGGCGACGCGGCAACATGTCGACGTCATGCTCGTTTGCTAATGTTTGTTTGGAGGAGTTCTGTTCACTCATTCGGCTTTCGGTAGCAATAGTTTCACCAGAATAGGGGTATGTTTTACGGCACCTACCTTTCTGGGTGCCTGTCCCGGTCGATGGCAGACATAGAATGCTCTCGACCACAGGGGGGTTTCTATAGGCCATTGCTCCTCGTGCCTCTCTTGACGGGGGCCAAGTTCTGGCTCGTGGTCCCTGGCAGGCAAGAACTCCATGCACTTGACTGATGCCAGAAAGCCAAATATATCCATTCAGCCTGGATAGCTCCAGGGAGCCGACGGGGCTCCCCTCAGAAAATTATTTTTTGTATCTGGATAAATACAAAACCTCCCTTATATGGCATATATATCCTTTTTCTTTTTATTGGAGACCTAATTATTAGCAGGACGGTTTTTAAACTAAATTGTTACGAAATATCTGTATGGTCCTACTTCATATAAGAAACACTCCAAAGTATGCTTCTGTTGTAATTGCGTCTTCTTGTAAGACTGTGGGGAAAATCACAAATTACAAAATATACAATGATTGCTGCTCACATCACCGAGTTTAACCCTTAAGCTGCTAAGGGATCCTGAAGAGATTTACACCCCTGTGCACAAGAAAAAAAAATTCAAATTTTTTTTTTCGTCTTCTAAAAATGTTAACTTGTGTTTCCTGAGCACGGGGAAAAAAAATCGTAGGTGACATATTTTGGACGCAATAAGCCGAGGAAGTCTGACAAAATGTGGGCGTTGACATAGCAATTGTCTGAGGCAGTCAGCGTCACCCAAGCTGACAGGCGGGAGTTGCTACAAAAATATTATTACCTAATTATTTCAATATCTCTGATTTATTTTTTCTTAGTTTTTTGCAGTAATATTATTCAATAGTGTGTAGTGTGATATATTTATATAATAAAAGAGGTGAATCATCGCTATACTCAAAAGTATGGTGTGCATATTAGTGATTCAATTATTATATTCATAAAACAATAAATGAATAGTTTTGCTGTTATTACACTATATACACAGGTTTATATATAAGTAGCTGCATGTTTTGCTCACCATAACGAACCACTAAGTTGGTATTGTGAGTCAAAAAGCAACGAATAATGGCCGCCACACACCAGTCAGCCACTCGCTGCCACTCCTCCCTAGCCCACATTTTCCACCATACTGTTTTTGCTTTTATTCACTATATACAGACGTTACATAGAGAACCACTGAGCTGGTATGGTGAATGCAGGCAATAACAGGTGGCCACACAGTCTCCCTCCCTCAGCATTACTCCTCCCACACAGCGCTAATTATCACAATCCTGGTCATTGTTATCACAGTCAGGGGTCATCTGTAATACTGTCTTCGCTAAACAATAGCAGTTACATATTTATTTTGACATTTTTAGGCAATGCTGTGGTCACAAGCTGAACAGCAATGCTGTTAGCTCATGCTGCATGCGCCAGCCTTGGTTGCTCCCACAGTACTGTAACTCTCACACCGGAGAATATTGTCCACGATTTATTTTAAGCATGGCATCTGTTTACAAGAGTCCTGAGGGAGCTGATGTGAACCCTGTGTAACTGTGGGCCATTTGAATCGTGCCTGGCATCTAATGGCATATATATATATGCCATGTACACATTGGAACATGTTACTCATGGCGTATATATACGCCATGCGCAGTTTAAGGGTTAAGCATCTAAAAAATTCTCTTAGCATCCACAACAGACTTAGAATAATTTATATATATGAGGAAGGTGTGTCAGAAGTCAAATCTATATGCAATTTATCCCAAATATCAATTGGCTGAATGGCTGCAACTCGATCTTAAAATGCTGTAGTAATATGGACAAATATGGGTGATGGCATATACTCTGCCAGTGACTGCCTCGTGGTTGTCCTATCCAAGAACGAGGTTATATTTCTGTTAAAAACTGCACTATTCATGAAATTAGAAATGACAGGAGAGTAATCACTAACATTCAAAGAGTAGAAAGCACTGGTACTATATAAGGTTATGTTTATAGCCGAGAACTACCTACTGAAAACTCCTCATCGAGGCCACAAGTATTAGTGGCCCTCAGGTAAATCTGATGGTGTGGTTTGTAATATTCTCATCTATGTCATTGATGTACTGTATATGACAAAAAGGGTTGGCTCCAAAATGGACTCTGGTGGCACCCCATTTACCACATTTCTCCAGTCTGATTCATTCCCATTTAACACGACCCTTTGTTTTCTTAGCTTTAATCATTGTTTTATCCATTCTAGTAGTTTCCCATTTATTCCATCTGCCTGTAGTTTCCTTGCTAGGCTTTCATGTGGTACCTTGTCAAAAGCATTAGCAAAGTCCATATAAGCTACATCTACCATAAGTCCTTTGTCTGAATAGCCGGTTACCGTTTCCAGAAATGTGAGCAGGTTTGTAAGGCAATGTAAGGTAGGATGTTAAATACTGAATAGGATATTTTTTGCTAAGATTTATGAGAGCTATTTCTATTAGTCATAATTACTTTAATTACTAATGTTTCTGTCATTTAGTGTCCGTGGCGAAGTGGTAAGACGCTCGCCTGGCATTCCGCGAGCGCTTTGTCGTGGGGTTCGTATCCTGACCGGAGAGGATTTACTGGGTGCAAATCCTTAATTGTATCCTCTGTAACTCATCAGTAAAATGGATACTTGGTTGTAAAAACGATTCTTCGCGTGGGTCGTATTCCAAGGAACATAGGATTAAGGACTTGCCCGAAACACTACGCGTACTAGTGGCTGTACAAGAATGTAACAACTCTTGTATATATAAATAAAAAAAATGTATGTAGCAAGGTGAAATCTCCAAAGATTCAATTACAGTGGAACCTCTGTTTACGAATGCCCCACTTTACTAATTTTTCGGTTTACAAGCTCAATTTCTTAACAAATTTGACTCGGTTTACGAGCTTTGCCTCGCTTGGCAAGTTTGTTGATACATGTATGGTCGACCGAGTGCGTGGTTCCTGGTGGCAAGGGCGAGGCACGCTACAGTTTACCAGTGCCTCCCACCTAGTGACAATTGTGCTTGAATTCTTTGTAAAGATTTTCAGTTTTCTGTTTTCTTTTTTTGGGGGGGGTTTCTGAACATAAAAGTAATTATTATATATTATAAAGTCAGTGGTAAGGTTCAGCCAAAGAAAACAAATGTGAGGATGATGACAGAGGAAAAACAAAGAGATTGTTGCCCGAAACGCTATGCGTACTAGTGGCTTTAGGTATTGTATGTACTAGCTCTATCTATAAATCCAACATTATGTTTGTAAAACAGCTATGTATGTACTTTCCTGAATAAAATTTACTTTACTACTTTACTATCATTCATAGTGAGACAATGTAATGTCTCACTACAGACAAGTGTTAAAATGTAAGGAAAAACAAGTGTCTATAGACAGATTCTTAGTAAGACAAGCAATCAGTGAGCCACAACCAGGTACTAGAGGTATGCCTGCAAAACGTACGTACGTGTGTGTGTGTGTGTGTGTGTGTGTGTGTGTGTGTGTGTGTGTGTGTGTGTGTGTGTGTGAGAGAGAGAGAGAGAGAGAGAGACACACACACACACACACACACAGACAGAGAGAGAGAGAGAGAGAGAGAGAGAGAGAGAGAGAGAGAGAGAGAGAGAGAGAGAGAGAGAGAGAGAGAGAGAGAGAGAGAGAGAGAGAGAGAGGAGAGGAGAGAGAACGAGAACCCCAAAAATGTCATCACTGCCTGATGTTATAATGTCACTAACACCTCACCTCCTCCCTCCTCCTCATCAGCTTCAGCTTCCATACACTAACAAGAGTCATCAATAAAGGTAAGATATAACTTGTACATAGTGTAGTACAAAATATTTGCAGTATTATGTATGAAATGTATTTTTAAGTTAATATTTTTGGGAGTGTGGAACGGATTAATTCAATTTACATTATTTCTTATGGGAAAATTTGTTTTGGTTTATGAATTTTCGGTTTGTGAATCATCTCTGACAACAAATTAAATTCGTAAACGGAGGTACCACTGTATTATAAATTGAAAAGTTGACTATTCAATTTTCAATTACAGTACATGCACTGTATTATCTGTAAAATAATACCCATTACACTGTTCATATTATATATTTTCAGTATTACTCAAATGTTGTAGACTGCATCCTGGGAAAAGATTAATGCCAACATCTGAGATTGGACGAAAAGTGTCCAAGCATTAAACTCAGAAATTATTTACAAATTTAATGACAAATACTATTGTGACTCCAGCACTTGAAAATTTAAGAGACAGCCTGTAGAAATGAACTCGAGAAAGGCTTTCAAGACGACTTCAAAATATAATGATAATGTTTTCTTCACTTTTGTGTGTTTGGAAAATTACAGTGTAATATATATTTAGTTATTAATTTATATCTTTCTACAGGTCGTAACACCACGTCGAGTAGGCGATGTATATACCTACGATACACCTCGTCCACTGACGCATAATCAACAGGCTTCTCAAATGGACTACGACATCCCCCCTACAAAGCACTCTCCCCTTGACAGTGGTATGAGCAAAATAAAATTACCAACATTTAATCAATAATTACAAAGATTGTGTATCTGTGCAATCAATTTTAAATGAAACTACACTGTATAAATGCTGTACAGTTCATTAGTAAAAGTTAGTAAAACAGTGTAAAAATATTTGCAAATATATTTGTATAGTACACTATTGTAAGCATAGCAATACTATTACCATTTCATATGTAATACCAGAGTACTTATGTTCTATATGTACTCTTTTTAGTGAACAGCAGTGTCTGATAGTCTGCCAGTGTCATTATGAAAGCTATCAAGTACTTATTGCAGCCATTTCTATTATCATGCTTTTGTATTTCTTGCTTACTCAATCCAACTACTTTACTCAAGTATGCTTCTTAATATTTTTCTTCATTTGTTTATAATTAATAGTTCATTGTGTCAAGGGACAGGCAGCCAGAGTGTATTCATACACATTCAGCTTATATCGAGGTCCCCCCCAAAGTCAATTACTGACCCCGCCCAGGATGCAACCCCACAACAAGCTTACTCCTGAGTACCTATTTACTGCTAGGTGAACAGGGACATAGGTTATAGGAAATGTTCCCAACCATTTCTGTCCTGCCCGGAATTCTTGATTGCAAGTTGAGAACGAACCTGACTGTACTGCTGAAACCCTAATGCCTTCTAATTTATATAGCTAAAAGGCATCATCTTAATATGCAGAGTTTTTGTTACATATTTGGGTACAGATGTTGATGACTTCTGACTCCTGTTAGCAAGTTTAGAGTTTTTTCTTACCATAGCTCATGTTAAGCCATCCCCTGCTAATATTTTGCTGGAATATCACCTGCTGATAGGTTTATAACCAAGTCCCCAATTACTGCTGTGTAAACAAAGGCAAATAGGTAAGGATTGGTGCCCAGTCAATCATCTCTGCTCAGGGCTTGACCGAGACGAAATCACTTGAGTGCTAACGTAGGGCTTACCATCTGAGATACACACCATTGGAGAGCCTTCAGTCAAATTTGCCCAAGCAGGTAAACAATGCTGGTGAAGTCAAGATACCCCATCAGCCACTCTTGTTCATGACAATAAAGCCAACACTTGCATAGTACTAAAGCTAGTCTTGAACCCACTCAGAATGAACTCTGAATGTGGTCTCAGAGTGAGAGAGGGGGGGTGGCCACCATGGCTTCCAATCTCAGTGACAAGATCTATTATCCTAGCACCAACTGCAGCTTTAGAAAGTTTATGAGGAAATCAAGACGAGCCAGATCACATTGAGCCAAATTCCTGGTCTGCAGAACAGCTAGAGGCACACATCAACCAGTTGTCAATGAACTGTTGTCCAGAACAGAGATCCACTACAGCTGAAGCAAATGAAGGACTGCATGCTTAGGTCTTTAGCTGTGTAGATAAATGTCTAAACTGTGAATCATTTCAAGAAATGCACTTCGAACATTTGAACTGAAGGAAGCTGTTTATGGAAAAAGTTTGAATGTAATCAGCTGAAAGAATTCAATGTTCTTTTCATAAACAGGGAAAATTTGATATACAGTAATTGATTTGGCCCCCCTTTGTTTTCAAGACTTGTTGCATACAGAACTGCTCCAACCACTTCTCACTACCATCTAGTAGGTAATTGCTACCAGTTTCCATTCACACTCAGGCTACAAAAGTAATGTAACCTGGGATTCAACTGAATCCTCTAGTGTTCCCAAGGCAAATAGAGGGAATACAGAGAATATATACAGCATACATAGACACGATAAAGCACCTAAATTATTGGGATCATCTCAAAGCTCTCCAAATATACTCGCTAGATTGGAGACAGGAGAGATATCAAACAATATACAAGTGGAAAATACTGGAGAGCCAGGTCCTAAATCTACTCAGTAAAATAACAATGTACTGGAGTGAACGATATGGAAGAAAATGCAGAACAGAACCAGTGAAGAGCAGGAGTGTCATAGGCACAATCAGAGATTATTGTATGAACATCAGAGGTCCACGGATGTTCAACCTCCGCCCAGCGAGCATAAGAAATATTGCCGGAACAACCGTGGACATCTTCAAGAGAAAACTAGAACATTTTTTTCAAGGAGTGCCGGAACAACTGGGCTGTGGTGGATATGTGGGCCTGTGGGCTGCTCCAAGCAACAGCCAAGTGGACTAAATTCTCACAGGTCAAGCCTGGCCATGGGCCGGGCTTGGGGAGTAGAAGAACTCTCAGAACTCCATCAAGCAGGTATTATCTCCTGCTCTCAAATCAGGGTTCAACACATTACCAGCATATATATACACATTGGCTGTGGTATAGGGGTTCTACTCCCAATGCTTTTCTTCAAATGAACAAATAAATCACATTTTATTTATTTATTTATTTATTTATTTATTTATTTATTTATATACAAGAAGGTTAGGTTTATCAGAGTACAGACACTTGAAGTTTTACAGTCTTGTAAAGCCACTAGCATGCATAGCATTTCGGCCAGGTCCTTAATTAATTTATTTATTTACATATACAGTATATACAAGAAGTTAAATTGGGTTTATGAGAGTACATTAACATGATGTATCTATGCACGTAATGTGTAAAACCCTGATTTAGGATCGAAAGATTCCAAAGGAACCCTAGAGGATTCAGCTGAATCCCAGATAATTTAACTTTTGCAGCATATCGTTGCCTAGTGGTTTAGAGCATGTGCATGGGAGTACCCAGTGTGCAGGTTCAAATCCTACTCATGGCTTCTATTGATTTTTGCATTGATACATCATGTTAATGGAATTTCATTGTGCATTTGACGAGAAGCATTGGAGTTAGAACTGGGGCCACAGCCAAAGTGCACAAGGGGCAATACGTGAAACCCTGATTGGGCTGCAGTAGAGGATTCATTGAAATCCCAGGTTGCATTGCTTTTGACTATGTTGTGGTGTAGCGATCTAGGGCATTTGGTTGGGAGTACCAAGTGGGAGGGTTCAAAGCTTCCCCCATGGCTCCTACGAATTTTCTTAATAATATTAGTAATAATAATAATAATAATTTATTTATTTATGCAAGTGTATACACATGATAAATGAACAGGAGAAGGATACATAACCAAGTACAATGCATGAAGCCAGTAACATGCAGAGTTTCAGGCATAATGTAAAAAATAAGAGAAAATAATATACAGTACAAGCTTACTGGGGTAATGCTTAAAGCTAAACGAGAAAAGATAAAATTTGTTGAATTGTGGAAGATATTTAGAAAATGATTTCTGTTTTCAAAATGATATTTAGAGACTGCAATTTTTACAACAGCATAAATATAGTAATTTTACAATCGTAAAATTGTAGAATTTTACAATTGCAGAAGAGATCAAATAGATCATCTCCAATTTTTTATGATGTTTAGACATGGCAGTTTTTAGTAACAGTGCAAATTTAGCAATTAATATTCATAATTACAGCAAACACAGGTCGATATGAGATATGAAGTGAGAGGAGTTGGTTACACAGAGGAAATTAGGTAGTTTTTGGTTTCTTTTAAAGTGGTTGAAATAAGAAGTCTTTAATCTCATTAGAGAGGTCATTCCACAGTTTAGGACCTTGGATTTGCAGAGCATTTCTACTTTGGTTAAGTCACCTTCTTGGGATATCAAAAATATATTTGTTTCTGGGTGTAGTGCCCACTGGTTTTGTCACAGTCCTCTTGGATGTGCTTAATGCTTCACACATTTCCTTTTCATTTTCCGTGCGTTAGGTATTATGTTTCCAGATTAGTACCAGTAAAGCTGATCGGTCGAGCGGACAGCACACTGGACTTGTGATCCTGTGGTCCCGGGTTCGATCCCGGGCGCCAGCGAGAAACAATGGGCAGAGTTTCTTTCACCCTATGCCCCTGTTACCTAGCAGTAAATAGGTACCTGGGTGTTAGTCAGCTGTCACGAGCTGCTTCCTGGGGGCTTGAGGTCTGGTCAAGGACCGGGCCGCGGGGACACTAAAAACAAAGCCCCGAATTTTTTTTTTTTTTTTTTTTGAGATACTGTATATACAAGAGTTGTTACATTCTTGTACAGCCACTAGTACACGTAGCGTTTCGGGCAAGTCCCTGGAATACGATCCCCTGCCGCGAAGAATCGTTTTTTCATCCAAGTACACATTTTACTGTTGCGTTAAACAGAGGCTACAGTTAAGGAATTGCGCCCAGTAAATCCTCCCCGGCCTGGATACGAACCCATGACATAGCGCTCGCGGAACGCCAGGCGAGTGTCTTACCACTACACCACGGAGACTGTAAAAATCAACTCAAGATAACCTCAAGATAGTACAATTAAGCCTGTTTACTTTTTAAATAAATAAAAATTTTAATATTATTAAATCTAAAAAAAAAACGAAGAGATATCATAACGATATTAACTTATTAGTAATGTAATACTGTACTAATATTTTCCTGCCATGATCAACCATCACCCACAAGCCATCATCACCCTTTCCCCTCATCCTCTCTCCCTTTTCCCCATTCCATCATCCACCTGCAGAGGTGCCGGAGTGGCTCTCCCGGAGAGCTCCGGCAGCACTGCACCACTGCCTAGCAAGAATGTCAAAACACCAATAATATGTACTTTAACAAACCCACTGTACCTTTTTGTAAATAAATAAATAAAAAAATAATGAATAAATGATAATTAGACAAAAAACTAAATCTAATAATTACAGTAAAATACTAAATCTAAAGAATAACTTCAGCAAAGTAGGAACATTACTGCCTTAACAGACAAGGTAAAGAAATAGAAGGAAGAAATCAAGGAAGTAGTGCACGAAAATGGAGTATGGAAAGTGATGAGTTGTGAATTTGAAGAAATTTACCAGAAAATAGACTCATGTGGTGAACAATTCCCAGTACACAACTCACACACAGGACACCTTCCTAGTACACCACTCATACATGGGACACCTTCCCAGTACACCACTCACACAAGGGACACCTTCCCAGTACACCACTAACACAAGGAACACCTTCCCAGTACACCACTCGCACAAAGGACACCTACCCAGTACACCACTCTCACAAGGGACACCTTCCCAATACTCCATTCACACAAGGGACACCTTCCCAGTACACCACTCACACACTGGACAACTTCCCAGTACTCCACTCGCACATGGGACACCTTCCCAGTAAACCACTCACATACGAGACACCTTCCCAGAACACCACTTAGTGTTACTAGTGTTACTTAGTGTTAGTCACCACTTAGAACACCACTCTTCACCACAGACCACACCATGTCCAGCCCAGCCTCCTAAAATAAAAATAATTACAGTAACTGTGGTCAAAAGTACAAATCCTCCAACCAACAAACTAACATCCCAGCGGATATATGGGTCTGCGAACCACTCCAAGCAACAGCCTGGTAGACCAAGCTCTCACAAGTCAAGCCTGGCCTTGGGCCGGGCTTGGGGAGTAGAAGAACTCCCAGAACCCCATCAAGCAGGTATCAAGCAGGTATAACTCCAAGAAACTTGAAAGGCCCCCATAGAGTTAGGCAAGGATATGCAAAGAGAAACTTCATGGATAACTCACATAGAGGAGTTTAATAAAGAACTAAAAAGGTACAATGAGGAAATTGAAGAGACATGCACAAGTTGCAAAAAATAAAGGGACAATCAAGGAAGTGTGTTTGGAAGTCAAAACCATAAATGACTAACAAGAAGCAGAAGTTAGGCAAGCAATTAGAAAAGAACTGATTACCAACAGTAAATTTGTACAAAACACTGCAGATAGAAGGAAGCCCACAATAATTTATGTATGTTTAGAAAAGGAAATACCATCTAGGGGTGGCTAGAGTAGCAGAAGAGATGAAAATAGTTGGTTTAGGAGAACGCTTCAATTCAAAGGCAAATGTCAGTGACGTTAGGAGTATAGGAAATATGATTAACAAGAACCACTCCTGAAGGGTGACATTTAATAGAGTGAAACAAATGACAGAAGTGCTTACCCTGGAAACACAAACCGAAACTGTCTTTATTTTCCGCTTGTTACAACTTGTAATAAAGTTGTTACATCTTGGCTTAACGTATTTATGACGTATTAGAACGTTGTTACAACTTGCTATATTGGTTGTTATAACTGGTTAGGAGGTGTTAAAACTTGTTCGAACGTTGTACCAACGTCGTAGTTTCGGTGTGTGTTTGGCGGGTAGAAATGCCAGGAAATTGCAGAGTGATGAGGTATAAGACAAGACCTCTCAAAGGATGACAGAAAAAGCTGAAAACAAACCTCGATAAAGCGAAATGTCTAAATGGGAATATAAATGAAGAAGAATTAAATTCTTTTTTCTACAAAGTGTTAGGGTCTGGAAAGCTAGTGAAATGGTACATAAAAAAGCAAAAATCATTAGAGTAAGGGGAGAGTAAGGACAAAGGGAAAGGGAACATGTTCCTGAAAGTTGCATATCCCAACATAGAGCGAGATAAAAAATACTGAAGCTAAAGATATAATTCAGCTTAAGGTATCAGATATTGCTGCACTAACAGAGATGAAACTTAAAGAAAATGTTTTAAATGAGGTGGTATTCCCAAGGGGCCACTCAGTTTGGAGACATAACAGGAAAACTAGGATGGGGGGTATGAGTGGCTGTGCTGGTAAAAGAGCACCTGAAGGTAAGAGTGTTAATAAATGAAAACCCTTGTGAAGTTGACATAATGCATTGTAGGTTTGGAATCAGGCTGATAAACTGATAATCTTAAATGCCTACAGCCCACCAGCAAGCAACACATGGACAAAGGAGGAACTAGAAGACAAACGAGATATCTTCATAATGGTTATGAGAGATTATAGGAAAAGCAGATAAAGATAAATCACAATTGTTGGTACTGGGGGGACTTCAACTTGAAAGCAATAGATTGGGAGAACTATGAAGCAAGAACAGAGGACATTTGTACAGGCAAATGTGTAAACCTCATTTTGGAGACATTCAAGAATGAGGGAAGGAGATGTTCTGTCAATACTGTATCTAATATTCACCAGGAAAGAAAAAAAAAGAGATATATTTGACATCCAGTGCCTTCCTCTCTTGGGAAAGAGTGATCATGTCCTGTTGGAAATTTAATATGCTTTGCAATATAATCTGGAAGAGAATGGGGACATTGAAACAGCTGATAAACTCGATTTCAAGAGAGGACACTATGGGGAACTTAGAAAATTCTTTGATGAGTTTAATTAGATAGACTTGTTGCTATTCAAGGAAGTAAATGAGATGTATGCCAATTTTTTTTAAATGTATGATGAAGGCACACAAACATTCATACCAAAACAGAGATGCAGGACCAGAAAACAGAATTGGTTCAACAGAAACTGTGAGAGGACCAGAGAGGAAAAGACAAGAAAATGGGGTCAATATAGAAAGAGGCCTAACCTGCAAACATACCAGCACTACAAGCAAGCAAGAAACAATAACACAGCAGTGAGGAGAGAGGCAGAAAGAAACTTTGAAAAAGGTATAGCGGACAAATGTAAAACAGATCCAGGCTTTTTCTATAAATTTATTAAAGGCAAGCTGGAAGTAAGGGTAAAATCCAGAGATTGTGAATGGGGATCAGGACTATTGAGAATGAAGAAGAAATGTGTGAAATGCTAAATGAACAGTTCCAAAGTGTGATTATATACAAAATGAGGATTTCAGAGAGCTAGACCCAATACCACTTCCAGAGCATGCCATAGAATACATAGAGGTATTCTATGTTTAGAATTCCATGCATTCTATGTAAGATGAGGTGGAAAAATTACTCAAGGGTTTAGGAAAAAATAAAGCAGTTGGACCTGGTGGAGCTTCACCTTGGGTGCTGCGAAAATGTGCAACTGAGCTGAGCATTCCACTCCAATTAATATTCCAGACATCCTTGTGCACAGGAATCTTAGTAGATATATGGAAAAAGGCAAACATAGTACCAATATATAAAAATGATAGTCGAAAGGAACCTCTAAATTGTGGACCCTATCATTAGCAAGCATGGCAGCTAAAACACTAGAAACAATAGTTAAAGCCAAATGGGTTGAACACCTAGATTTCCTAAATGTTATTCCTGATCTGAAACTTTTCCTAATAATTTGTTAATAATAATTTGTTTTAATAATTTTTACCCACATTCTTTTGAAGAAATTATTTTTTTTAGTCAGTATGTTAATTTTGTGTAGTATTGTTTACCATGTAGCCACTGGTCATGTTATTTATATAACAATGAGCTTACTGCATCCCTCCCCTCCAAACCTATCTCTGTCTAATTCCCTCCCTTTTTTCAGTTTCTATTCTTCCATGCTACTCTGAGTAGCATTTACCTATTTCCCCAATCCTTCTTCACTCAGTTGGTATAGTTATGGCTTCATACTTTACAGGTTCTAGTTCAATCCTTGCTTTAAATGAATAAAATATTTATATTCTTCTATTTATTCATACTGTATATTGTATAGGCATACACATAGTAAAGTCTTACTGGCACCATTTTCCACTAGCTTCTCAAGTGCTCCCAGAAATCTTTAACAACTCTTCCCCTCCTCACCACACTCCAGCTCCTCTTAATTTAATAAACACTACACTGGAAGATTTAACAGATTTTGGATATGTTTTAATCTGCTATGTAGATTATATTTCAATTGTACTGTATACAGAAATATTTTATTAAGGGAAATCATTTTTGGTATTGATACACTTTGTTTTTTGCAGGTGGTGCTCGTTTATCACGTAGTAGCAGTCTCCGTTATGATTCTCCACGGACTCATGCACGCTCACCACTTGATCAATATGATATACCACGTTCACAATATGATTCTCCTAAGGTACGACCATTGTATGACTCGCCAAAATCTCAACAGCATTATGATTCACCTCGAATACACACTGACACTCAGCGCCTAAGCAGTGGCCCTCGTAGTCTTATCAAAGGTATCCGCGGAGGTGCTCCAGCAAGTGTGCTACCATTAAGTGACAACCATCAAGAATATGATGTGCCAAGGCCAACAAATGCCAATCAGGATGCTCAGCTTGATATGCCACCAAGTGATCGTTCCAGTGGAGTATCTGTCATGTCTTGTGAATCGTCACAATTATCGACCTCCTCTTCTGCCTCATCACTAGCCGCTTCTGAATCACTTTCTCTATCCTCACTTGGTGGCTCTTCTAACCGCTCTAGCTTAGAATCCCACGATGTGTATGACATCCCACCAGAACCACGCAAAGTAGCAGTTTCTCAGCGTCCTAAACTTCCTCCACGAGAGTCAAGGGATGTGAGGGATGCTTATGATGTTCCTCGCACTGCCTTATCAGTAGGAATTGACACATATGATACTCCACCTTCTAGAACACCACGTGCACTTCTAATGCGTGGTGGGGAAGGTGTGTATGATGTGCCACCACAGGTTAGTAGAGATGTACGTCAACCAGATACTGTTGATGCTACAACAAACCGTCTTTCCTCTGGTTCTGACTCATCTGGTGGTGAAGTGGATTTAAGCCTGGGTAAAGAACTTCCTCTGGAACATGATTCTGCTCTGGATATGTTAACAAAACTCCAGCAGGAAGTATATGGAGCCATAGAAAAATTATCAACAGTACACCAGAGTGGATCTTGGCGAACACGAGAAACAGTAGAGGAGCGAGAAGGAGATATGAAGACAATTGTTTACAGACTTCGTCAGTCAGTGCATGAAATTTTGAAGTTTGGTCAGGGTTCAGCTGTTAATGCAGCTCGAAATGGGGAACGAAGTGTAGCTCGAAAACTGCATCGGCTTTTGGAACCAGTGACAAGATCAGCTGTCGCTGTAGATGAAGCATGGTCCAGATTGCAAGGGGGTGGATGGACACAGGCTTTGGCAAGTGGTACTAATCCAGAGAACTTCAGCCAATTGGCAGTCATAGCTCATACATTAGTAGAGGATGTGCGCCGTTTATCTTTAAACATTCAAGCAAAGGTAACTTGCATTTTCAAAAAGTCCCCTAGTTTTGATTTTACAGGATTTTCACGTCAGCAAGGAATAGAAGACGATGAAAAAACTCCAGTCCAAGAACGTCCTTTACCAGATCTTCCAGAGAAAACACAACTTGAGAATATGTATGAAAATGATGCTAGAAATTGGCTTGAGGACTATGATTATGTTAATTTGGAGACTCGTGAAAGTGTAGAACGTGAACATGAAGACATTAAGAAGGAGTTGCCTGCACAATTACGCAAGTCATTTGACAACTTGGTGAAACAGTCACAGCTAATAGTAGATAGTGATCATGAGAAAGCATTACGCAAAGATGACTCATCTTGTACAATCACTGATAAAAAAGGAAGCCATATTTTAGATCCAAATGATCGACAAGTAGTAGCTTTCTATGGAAATCAAGCAGAGGTGCATCTTCAGCATCTAAACACTGCCATTGATGCATTCCTTCTCACCATAGAGAATAATCAGCCACCCAAAGTTTTTATTGCACACTCAAAGTTTGTTATCCTGAATGCACATAAATTGGTTTATATAGGAGACACTGTCCATCGTAATGTTGTAAATGCTGACGTAAGAACCCGAGTATTAAACTGCTCAAATGCCCTGTGTGATGCTATGAAGAACACTGTAGCAGCAGCTAAGACTGCAGCACTGCAGTTCCCATCAGTGGTGGCAGTTCAAGCAATGGTAGATGCTTTTGTTGCTGTATCTCACTTAGCCAATAATCTGAAGCAAGCTGTTTCTGCTGCTCCTCTGTGATGATGATGTCATATACCTCTTTGACTAGTTCAGAGTTTGAAAGTCGTACAGCTATTTGATTTATCAAGTGTGTGACCATCACAGAGATATTTCCTTGACTAGCAAATGGCCAAGATATCCCGATCCTCTCCCTGGTGCTATGTACAGGAATGCAGGAGAGGCGGGTCAGTTTATACAGTAGTTAATTTTTTTTGTTAAGTATCAAAATCACTTGTAAAATTTTTGAAGAAAATACTGTGGTTTAGTTACTTTAAACATTTTGCATGAATAAATTCAAGACATTAGTTTGGATTATCATAATTTTTACAAATACGAGTATAATATTCATGATTTTATGTAATTATTTCTTTTGAATTGACAGCATTCAAGATTTTTAATATTTTTATAACTAGCAGCAATCATTTCTTTAAGCACAAGTAATATATATGTATATATTGTCCCACAATTTAGATACTGTATTTATTTTATTCGAATCACTTGTGGAGATTCATCCACTTACTAAAGTATAATATTAAAATGCAATTGGGTTGTCATTGGTTGATACGACTGCAATTGGAAGTCTACCTGATTTTTTTACTTAATATCTATTTATTTATTTGTTGATGCATTGAGTAACATATTCCGAGATAATTTACAGACTTAAAAATTTGTAGAATTTCATTTTTAAACTCAGGATAACTTACATTTTTAGTTTTATTCCTATTCACATGCAAAATTAATGTCTTTTCACATCATAATTTTCTTGACGGTACTAGGGAATTCATCTAATAGAGGATGTGTAACAGATTTTTAATGTCTTACAGCATAGTATGTTAAGCGACAACTTCCACAGTAAGACAGACTTGATATTGTAAACGTTTGGAGTAAAATCGATGTAGGCATCAGTGATCGTTAATATTTTTGAACAGAAATGTGGGTTTCATGAATTACTGGTAATAAATGTTATTAGTTACAGTAAAATTATATTGCTGCATATGTAGAGATACCTCAGTATCACTAATTATATATAAGGCCATGATGCATAAATATTTTAGCCGTTTATCTAATGCCATGGTTAATAAATAGTGAATGCCTGTGTTTGAAACTTATAAATGGCTATTGTTAGTCTCAGATTATAGATTTTTTGTGCTCATAGTCGGCTTATTAGGATATATTGTATTATATAGAAAGACACACTAATGCCTATATTCTGAACTCCACTCTTCCATAATTTTTAATGATACAGGTAATGACTTCCACTAGTTGCAGTCAAGATAGTGGAATTCTAAATTCCCAGGCTGTGATTTTAGTGATTAAGTAATATAATTTTAATTACTGATTCTTTGTAAATAGATTATGCAAGTGTATATACTGTACAAGAGTAAACATGTTATTAAAAAACACAAAGCATGTTAGGAATGACTGAAATGTGTTCAGTACACTACACAGTATGCCAGCAGAGTGTAGGCAGGTGGTGCAGTGAGAACCCTACACGTCCCACAGGCGTGCTGCCACCGCAGGTGCCCAGGCTAATCTTAGCCATATATTACCACTAAAATCAAAAAGAAGTGCTGCAACAGAAGTGCTGCAACAGAAATGCTATGGTTGAAGTGAGACATGCTTTTTTTTCCAGAGCTTAGCCACTGTTCACCCACAGCATACATGTTCCCTTGGCATTTTTTTTTTATTTTGCCTTGTTAACATAGTTTAATGTTAACAAGATCCAGCTAATATATGTAGTTGATATAATATATTAAGGAATAGGTTCAGTGATACCTAATATTTAACAGTATCTAATTGTGTCCATATTGCACTCAGCATTCATTACTGTCGTCATTCCACTGCCGCTTATAACTGCCATCAGTCACAATGATGTAACCTCTTGTGACTGCAATTCTGTAAAAAATGAAGTGTACATGTTATCCCGGCAGAATGTGAGGTTTGTAGCAGAATTCACAGTGACTGAATACCTTATAACTATAAACTGCAAACAGCACAGTGATCGTGGACTATACCTGTGTAAGCTATTCTTTACAGGCACATATGGACTAATCAACTATGACTGTATATAATATATATATACATTATATATATAGTGTATATTTATATATATCAAGACCTATATTTACTTCCATTATGCAAAAGCTTTCAGCTTTGTGAATTTTGTTTAAAAAGAAAAGTATTATTAGTTAATGTAAAAAGAGTATGAGCTTGTTTCAAAGAATTATAAAAAGGGCTGTCTTGTAATTTTGATACAATTGTTGAGAACCCTTTTAAATGACTTTGAAAATGATCTTTTGTTTTTATGTGACTTCTGTATCCAGTAGTAAGAAATGTACCCTTGGAACCTGAGCCTGTCCACTGTCTCCTTGTGCATATTGTGTGATAATGTGATTACCTCTTGTGTTTTTGTACCTATATTTGATAATATGTAATGTACTTTAACAGGCCAACAACATAACCAGGTTAATAAAATAACTGAATGTAAATATTCTTTGCAATTCCTTTAGAGATACACCTAAATTGTTCTTATCAATGTCAAAACAATCATAGAATTTTTTTTATCAAGGAATAAGATTTAAATTTTTTTTAATGCTTCTTTTGGTAGAAGTTAAAAGCCGATCTTCATTGCAACTGGCAAGTCATTTACTATCCATGTTTATCCTGTGGCCCACTAGGGAATATTTACACATTTACAGCTTAGTAATTTGAATTCTGGCAACTCAAATCAGCAATTAGAATTAATTCATGTCAGACCTTTTTTTATTCATTTTGACCTTTTAACTCTAATCCATTTGGGTTCTATTCTAATAAGAATTTGGGTTAAAAGTTTATAAGTTAATGAAAAACCTGACAAAATTCATGTTTGAGTTCTTGACTCCTCAATTCGTTAGAAATTTGAGTTACTGTGATTTATGCTGAATGAGAAACCTGAATAAATTTAAACATTCATTTTTGGATGTTCCCGGTAAAAAGTTGGTTAACGTAAATTGGGGACTGGGTTCCCCACATGATTTGGATTACTGGGTATAGAGAGGACATTTTTCATAAACAGTCCCCCCCCCCCCTCCTTCCATACTCATAAAAAAAATAGGATCGAATTTAATGAAACGCTAGTTTCTGGGTGAGCCCCAGAGCCTCACTGATTAAGATTAAGTGCCATAATATTGTACTTGAGTGTTATCAGTCGCGGAGTTCTTGTATGCCTACTGGGGACCATGAGCCTGAACCTGGTCCTCAGGACAGGTGAAGGGAGCAATGGCACAAGAATACTTTCCACTTAAAGTCTATCATTTCTGCTATCACCAGGGAAGCACACAGAAAGGTAAGCAAATGAAAACAGACTACTGCCTGGTTAAAAAAGGTGACCTACATCCTCAAAATAGCCATAGCGTAAACAAAATAGCCAAAATTCCCCAATAAAGAAAACAACCAAAACTTCATCCAACTAACCCCAGCATTCATTAGCTCCACTGAGGGAGGTGGTACGGGTGAGCCAGACTGCCACCAGGCAGTCATTCAAGACTGGATGGTGGCAGCCCGGCTCATCCGTGCAGGATGTCGGTCGCTTTTTTCAACAGGCAGTAGTCTGTTTTGATTTTTCTACCTTTCTGTGTGCTTCCCTGGTATTAGCAGAAATTATAGACTTTAAATGTCAAGTATTTTTGTGCCATTGCTCCAATCAAATAGCCTGATTTTACTTTTTTTTTTCATAACACAAAATAAGGGGTGCTAAAATACACAAACCCTAGCCAGCCATCTAATCTAGCCAACTTAGGCATAGAAAATGTGGATATTTGTGAGCTGCTGCATGGTACTTTTATTTTGTACATTTGGGATCATAGCATGCAAAATTAGGCAAATTAGTTAAAAACATGGGTTGGTATTATGGCCTACCAGGACTAGAGCCAGAACATGGCTCCCTTTACAGAAGCACAAGGAGCAGGGGATTGTTATGAGCAGCTTTACAGGAAAAACAGAAAGTAAGCTAAGCTATACAGACAACTGCAAGATTCATAGAAAATGAAGCTCTGAAATAGCCAATTGACTCCACAAATGATTCACTCAGACCCAAATGATTCACTTGAAACCAACTTTAACCCTTTAGTTCTAAATAGCTGCCAACAGGTGGCAGTACCACAGGAGCTCCAGGCTCCCACACACACACACTTTGCCCCAGTCCTGTCGCTGATGTCTGTATGTGCAGACCTTCCTGAGTTACTGGCCATGGCAAGTCCCACTCCTTTTCTAAATACAATAGGGCCTCGACTTACGATGCTAATCCGTTCCCAGAGACGGATCGTAAGTTGAAATGTCGTAAGTCGAAGCGATTTTTCCCAAAAGAAATAAAGGGAATTGAATTAATCCGTTCCCCACCCTCCAAAATATTAACATACAAATACATTTTATACTGAATACAATGTTTTTTCTAACTACAATACAGTACCTAAGTTTATCTTACCTTTATGGAGGGCTCTTGATGGCGTATGGAAGATGGTGATGAGGAGGGAGGAGGAGAGTTGTTACTGTATGGAGGGGGAGTCCCTTCCATTATCACATCAGGCAGTGATGTTTTCTCTGGGGTACTCTCTCTCCTACGTTTTGCCTGAATACCACTAGGACCTGGTTGTGGTTCAGTGCTTGTTTGTCTCACTACAAATTTGTCAAGAGACATTTGTTTTTCCGAGACATTTTCTTCGTTTTAACATTTGTCTGTAATGATGCATCACTTTAGTACCCATAATGTTCTTTTTCTTAGCCAGTATGGTGGATATCGTTGACTGAGATTTGTTGTACTGCCTAGCCAGTTCAATAATGGTGTGATATATAATAATTACTTTAATGTTCAAAATGCAAAAAATCACCACAAACGCGGAATTTCTTAGAGGCGCGATCGTCACTAAGCGGGCAGCTGTAGTAAACTGAGGCAGGTCGGACCGCGTGACCGGGAACCACACGCTCGGTCGACCCGAACGTGTACCAACAAATATTGGAAGTCGACGACACCATCGGATGTCGAGTCGCATTTTTTGATGAAATTTACATCGTAACTCGAAATTATCGTAAGTAGGGGCAATCATAAGTCGAGGTGCCACTGTACTGTAAGTGCAGGCCATATTTTGGGTTGTCATGTGGGGACCACTTGCTTGCATCTTTCCTAATTTTCAGCATTTGCTTCATGTGTGTATGTGTGTGTGCTTGAAACCTCATTTGTTGTATGGACTTGGTCTAATCTTTGGTTTAAGTTACATGTGTTTATGGCAGGCCTTCCCTAAGTGCTCATTTTGTGTTTTTCCTCCACTAACAAAACTTTTCTGGTGTGTTTGGAAGGTTTTCCCCGAGAGGTCAGGCTACTATGTAGAGACCTTCATCCTGGTTAGTGCACGAGTCTTGGACTCCTTAGCATGGCCCTGTGGTTGGGGGCATTTGGGAGTGTTTTGTTGTGGGGTACTCTAGGATCATGCACTTTGTATGGCATGCTGCTAATTCTAAGCCAAGTTTAGATATTCTTAGCCACATTTATCCTGTAGGCTGTTTGGCGTCAGTTCTTTTCTTGAGTGTCCCTAGGTGTCTTGTTTGGTTATATTCCTTCAGCCCCAGTAACTTCCCAGTGGGTCTGCATGCGACTCATTGTGGCTCAACCCACCCAGCCTGCACTCACTACGTGTGAGGTTGAAGGGTGCTCATCAGCTCTGCTACATGTCACCAGTCGTTCTTTCTTGCCCTGCCATGTTGACCATTTGGTCAGTGAAAGTTTTGACTCTTAGAGGTACTTAAACAAGTTTTTGCAAGAAGTGCCGGACCAACCAAGCTGTAGTGGATATGTGGGCCTGCAGGTTGCTCCAAGCAACAGCCTGTTGGACCAAGTTATCACAAGTCGGGCTGGCTGGGCTCAGTGAGTAGTTGAACTCCCGAACTCATGCCCTCTCTAGGTATGCTCCAGGTATGAACCCCCAAGATTTGTTACACTTATGTTCATTGGCTCTATATTATCAGAGCCTTCCTTGTGACAGGAGGCTTATCAAGCTGCTGCCTTGTTGCAGTTTCATTTTGCTCATGTTCATGGTTCATGTCTTGGTGCTCAAATGGGTGCCCCGAAATTGGCCCGTATATTTTTTATGGATCTGGAGTTGGAGAGGTTAATGAATTCCATCTGCTCTAAGTTTCATTCTCCTACTCCTTTCCCTGTTGATGTGCTTTGCCCAGCATCTGTTCTTTTCCCCCTTTGCTTGGGCTATGAATCATTTGAGGGTTTTGGAATCCAGACAGGGTTTAACTTTGGGTGTAGATCGGCAACCTCCCGGGTTTGCCTTATCCATTTCGATTGGCAAGATAGTTGAACCATCTCTTCCCATCCGACTTTCAGAGGCTACTACTTCACTGGGAGGTTTACCTTACTCCCATCCTGTTCTCTGGGAAAATGCCTTCCTATCTCAGGCATTGGGTGTGGAATAGACCTGTTTTGTGGCTCGCCGCTGGGGAAGAACCAAAAGAGGATTTCTGGGTGCCCTTCAATCTTCACTTTTTTTTTTATTCTGAATGTGGAGAATTTTTCTGTTTCCCTAGAAAAATACAATGAAAATATGAAAACAAATCATAGAACGGAAAAGCAATGTAAAGGATTTTGGTGTACTCATGTCAGAAGACCTTATCTTTAAAGAACACAATAAAGACCTTACCTTTAAAGAACACAATAAAGTAGCCGTCACAACTGCAAGAAAAATGACAGGTTGGATAACAACCTTTCAAACTAGAGATGTTATTCCAATGATGATACTTTTCAAGATGCTAATGTTCTCTAGAGTGGAGTACTGTTGCACAATGACAGCTCCTTTCAAAGCTAGAGAAATTGCTAACCCGGAGGGCGTGCAGAGATCCTTTACTGCTAGAATCCACTCAGTAAAACATCTAAACTACTGGGACTGACTAAAGTGCCTAAATCTGTATTCTCTTTTGCGCAGGTGGGAGAGATACATAATAATTTATACGTGGAAAATAGATTCTGGTCCCAAACCTGCACACTGAAATAACACCCCATGAGACCAGAAGGCATTGCAGGATGTGCAGAATACCCCTGTTGAAAAGCAGAGGTGCAATAAGTACTCTGAGAGAGAACTCTATCAACATCAGAGGCCCGAGACTGTTCTACATGCTTCCACTACACATAAGGAACATGTTGACCAGACCACACACTAGAAGTTGAAGGGACGACGACGTTTCGGTCCGTCCTGGACCATTCTCAAGTCAATCGACTTGAGAATGGTCCAGGACGGACCGAAACGTCGTCATCCCTTCAACTTCTAGTGTGTGGTCTGGTCAACATACTTCAGCCACGTTATTGTGACTCATCGCCTGCACATAAGGAACATAACTGGCCAACCCCCCCCCTCATAGTGTTCAAGAGAAAGAACTTGATAAACCCCTCCAAAGGATATCTTATCAACCAGGCTGGGATTCATATGTCAGGTTGCGAGCAGCCGCGTCCAAC